CTGCAGCTAACAAGCATCAAGATTCAGATCAGAGTCCGCATGAAGAACCAACCAAGACTCAAGATCAAGCTTCAGAAGATTCATAGATAGGAATCTTGTAATTCATAGCTGATAAGTTTGTTTAGTTCTTTTAGATTTTGATTTTGATGTAATAACAAGACCGCGGACCGGAACCTCGACGAATCTCACTTAACTCTCTCATCCTCTCCACACACTCCATCACCTCATTCACTTTTGAACTACACGTGGCCTGATTCCTTTATACCCAAGGATATGTAGGCAGCTCAGATACCAGGATTCGGTCACATTCTCCTTTCTTTTAGTTTTTGGTCTCTCTAAATAAGGATCGGGTCAAAAATCAGTCTTGTTGTTCTTTGTCTGAAAACTCTTTGTGTTTCCAATTAAAGAGGGGCAGTTGTAGACATGTAAACCCTCCCCAGAATTTTCACATTTTTAATGTTTAGATATTAGTTTAGGCCTGATAGTACTATTTTTACTATTTTTTAACTTTTAACTTTATTTTATCTTAAATAAAAATTACAAAAAAAATATTTTCTTTTATTTAGCTAATTGATATTTTATCTAGTTACTTTTAGTTTATCTGCCTTTCATAAAATTCGAAAATACAAAAGTAGTTTCACTTTGTTTTCAGGAATATTAGTATTTTTGGTAGGAATATTATTTTAATTTTTGCGATGATTTTAATCTAATCCCATTTTTATTTTTAGGATTAATATTTGAAAAATACCAAAAATAGGTTTGTTTTAATGGTTAAATTTATTTTAATAGTTATTTTTACTTAAGTAGGATTAATTAGCAAAAGGGGTAGTATTATTAGTCTTGTTCAAGGAGAAAAAATAAAATTTGGGCTCAAACAACCCATTTTTTAGGCCTAATTTTCGGACGCCCATAAATCCAAGCCCAATACCCATAAAGCCCTAACACTTTAAAAGAGACCCCTTCTTCCTCCTGAACCTAGACCTAGCTAAGACCCCGCCCCTTCTTTAACAAAAAAACCAGCCGAACCCTAAGTTGACGGCTCCTATTCAAGTGGACTTTGCCCTTTCCACAAGTTAATCACTCTTTGTTAAGCTGTTGTAGAGTGAAGACAACTCTAATTAACATTAATAACCTCAAACTTAATTGTGTCCCAAATTCCGATCCGCCAAAGCTAGTACGAAGAAATAAGACCCATTTTCTCCTAAAATTTGCAAACTAAAATTGCAAAATTTGGTGGAAGTCATGTTAACTGTTTTACTGTGCCTCAGTTGAAAAGAAAAGCTTCTAATTCTTAGTCTGCTATTTAAGACACCTTTTATTCAACAAAGGATATATTCGAGAGGCATAAAGTGGTATTTACAATCTCCACGTCTATAGCAATATTTTCCTTTTCGCCTAGGTTCCATTTCGCAATTTTGGTGTTTCAGTCCAAGGATTGTTGCTTTGTTTAGCCCGATTGATTTGTAATTTTCAGCTTTGTTCATTAATAAAAGGTCCATTTCTCAATTTTGATTCTCATTTCATTTTGTTATGATAGCTTGGTGCGCGTGTTGGTTGATTTGTAATTCTACGTTGTTTGAGTAGCATATCTTAGTTTTTATTTAAATTATTTTAATTAGTTTTTATTTCGATTTTTATGTATCTCGTCTAGTCTTGGTTCTTGAATAAATGTTTTTAATTGGGTAGATGGAAAAATCAGATTTGTTTCTTTCTTGGCAAGGAATAAGAACGGGCCATAAGGTGGGTCTCGAACCATAAGGAATCTGGGCCAAGTAATAGATCATGTTAGCTAACCTATTTGCTCCCCAATAATATCTTGTCCATAAATTTGGCATCACAACAATCTCAAAGATTAGAAAAAATAATTCAAATGCGCTAGTTTCTTTAGGCGCGATTAATAATAAATCATCGTGGTTATGGGTACGGTTCCCGTGGCATGGTCACGATACATAAATCCCAATTAGGGTGTGCATTTCATGTACCCCGATCACAACTCCGAACAATAATAAAATAAACATGTCGCAAATCGCGGGTGCATTTCATGTAGCGCGGTTTGCAATGTGTTCCAAAACGGCAAGTGTACGACAATCGTAACTTGTTCAAAAAATAATTCCATAAATCCTAAAAAAACGGTTTAAATAATTAAAAGCGGTTTAAAAGGTTAAAAATGCACAATAGGTTTAAACATGTAAATAATCAGATAATTAGGCCAATTATTAATAGTTAAGCGACCGTGCTAGAACCACGGAACTCAGGAATGCCTAACACCTTCTCCCGAGTTAACAGGATTCCTTACCCAGTCTTCTATGTTCGCGGACCAAAAATAGAGTCGATTTCCTCGATTTGGGATTTAAAATAAACCTGTGACTTGGAACACCATAAATTATTCCAAGTGGCGACTCTGAAATAAATAAATAATCCCATTTCGATTTATGTCACTTAAATTGGAAAAACTTCCGTATATCCCCCTTCGGGTAAAAAAGGAGGTGTGACAGGCTTTCTTTCAATTTTCGGGAAGCGTCAGAACTCCTTGAATTCAGCCCTTTAGTAAATGCCTCAGCTGCCCATTCGTCCGGCACGGCCAGTAGCAACATTCTTTCCTTCTGGAATCTGGTCACGAATTCCCGTAGCAATTCATACTCTCCTTGCGCATTTCTAAATATGTCGGCCTTTCGGGCATGTACCTTGCTGGCCCCGGCATGGACCTTGATAAAAGAATCTGCGAGCATCTCGATGGAATCTATTGAGTGCTCGGGTAAAAGTGAATACCATATCAGGGCCCCTTTCGTGAAGGTCTCCCCGAACATCTTCAACAAGACTAACTTAATTTCATATGGAGCTAAGTCGTTTTCCTTCACCGTCGTTGTATAAGTGGTGATGTGCTCCTGAGGGTTTGAAGTACCATCATATTTTGGCACGTCGGCCATTTTGAACCGCTTCGAGATCACTCTAGTGCTAAGCTTGGTTTGAACGGCAACTGGGTGTATTTATTTAAATCCAGTTCTTTCAATATTGGTGGTGCACCCGAGATTTGGTCTATTCAGGCATTTATTTCCCTCATGAACCGCATGAGTTCGGTTTAAATGGATCATTCTGATTGTTGTTACTGGATCCGCTGTCGTTCCCCCTAGCCCTGTTGAAGCCAAACTCACCCCTCTGGGTGTTGCTATCAATCCTTTGTGTTGTCTAGTTTGTGGGAGCACCGGGAGGAACTGGACCTCGTCCATTTGCGTTTTTGAAAACACCCACTTGCCTCAACTTCTTCATAACCTGATCCCGTCGCAAGAGATGGCCCATAATAGCCTTTTGTTGCTCCCTCAGGATTCTTACTGTTTTCGCGGCGTGCTCATCTTCAGCATCATTAAGAATTGCCTCCCGAACATGTCGTGGATATTGCCCATCATGGACCGGCGTGGCCTCATCCCCTTCGTTGCGGGTGTCACTGATCGAGTCTTCGTGTTGAGGCTGATTTCTTTGGGCCTCAATATTGTGTGAGATGTTGACATCGTTATCTGCTATTTTTTATGATTTTTTGCTAAGAAACAAAGAATAAACATGTTAGTAATAGATGTAATGATCAACTCAATTACTCAACTGTGTAAGCCACGCGGTTGGCGCCAAACTATTACCTGTAAAATTGTACAGTTGAATTTATACGTGGTTTATAGACAAGCGAATCGATTTCATCCCAAAGAGTAAATAAATAAAATAAAAAATACAAGACTTAGCGTTGAAATCGAGATAAGACAGTTAATAGCCTGATTCCAGGAGCGGAGGTTCTGAAGGCAGTAATAGCAATATTAATAAGCAAGAAATGGAATATTATTGAGCTGTTGAACAGTATATAGCTTAAGATTGCCAGAAAATTCGTGTCCCTGCAATGACTGTTAAAATCAGTATTTATAGTTGCACTTAGGGAACAAGGTCCTAAGATCAAGCATCTCTACAATGACAATAATGGGGCCATTAAAGAATGTATAACGGCACACTATGAATGCCATAATTCTCTATAATGGATTGTGTATTTAATATTGCAGAATGTTCTTCATTGAATGTTACCCGATGGCAGGCACTCGTTTGCCTTCATTAGCAATATTCCCTTCGGGGGCTCTCTGGTGCCAACCGAAGCTACTGCCCCCGGTCTTGGTTCTGACCTGTCTTACTTTCCATCTATCTCTGATTCCACGTGTCGCTCTATTATGCGAGTATTTAATGTGAAATTTTTTTACCCGATACAATGATAAACTTAACGTAAATTATATAAGTTATACTCCGTATTTACTTATATAATTTAAGAGTTCAATTTTTATATATTAACCGTGTGAAAATAATTCACTTACATTTTAACTTTTTTTCCAAATTACCAACCAAACACGAAAAAAATAAGAAAAAAAATCATTTAGTTTTTCTGAAGTATTTTTCAGAAAAGTGTTTTACATGGAAAACGACATTTTCCTTCCTACCACATGACTGTATTTCGTTTGGCAATTACAACCACAAAATGAGGTTGGGAGATATTCAATATGATCTAAACAAAATTGCAGCAGCATAGATTAATAGAATAAAGTCACTTTTTTTTGCTTGACCCCTTTGGCCTAATGACTTCGGGTGCAACTTGTTTCAAAGACTCAATGGTTCACGGAATTCTACATTTAAGTCACATTAATATACAAACAACATGCATCTTTAAGCTGGTTGATATCTTGATACATTTCGTCATTGGTAATCAATGAGCATCACACACTTTCCTGAAAAAACATAATAGTAAGTGGTCCAAAAGATATAAAATTTGAGTGAAACTGATAGAAATTGAACTCGGGGCGTGTTTTCTATAAAGGAGATCATTTTCTTGAAAAATAACTCATTTTCTAGCAACCAAACACACACAAAAAAAAATCCTCGAAAAATCTCATTGAAAGGGGAGTATTGCGAAAGATCGTGGATTAACCATCACATAATCACATATAAAGAAAATACAGAAGAAGAAAATAACACAAGGATTTAACGAGGTTCAGCTAAGCTTAATCCTCGAGGCAGAAGTAGAGAGAGTTTTTCACTATGAATGAGAAGAAAATCACAATACACAATTTATAGAATCTCAACTACAACCCTTATATATAGATCTCAAATAGTGTCAAACCTATAAAAGAAAGATTTTCCCAATCCGACAAGGATAATAAATTTTTCTTTCTCAAATCTATTAGAACAATAAGTATCTCCAACCTATGGGGATTATGAATTTCCTAAAAATACAAGAAAAATAACTTCCTTTTTTGTGTTTTTCTCTGATAGTCCATTTGGAGAGACAAAGTTTCTGCCGGAAAATATTTTCCTTCATACCAAATACACACTCAATTAAAGTAATATTTGAGTGATTACCTAAGGAATGAAAATATTACTCTTTTTAACCATTCAATGTTGAGAACTTGAAGAACCTGAAGATGGCTTAATGCAAATCACTCCATTAATATCCTCTTCACCTTGAATTAATCTACCAGGAAATTGAAAATCTCCATTGAAATTGCTATTGGAAATTGAAGATTTATGTTCTGCACTTGCCATTGGTTGCTGTAATTCCCAAGCATGACTAATTAATTGTGAAAAATTGGACTGAAGGGGTTCTCTTTGAGAAAATATACCCCCTTGGGACAAAAATTGTTGATGGGGTATTATCCAATTTGCCATTCTTGGATTATAATTTGCTTCAAAATTGACTAAATTTGTACTATGGTTGGAATTTTGGTCATGTAAATTGGTGTGAAGTGATAATCCAAGATCTTCATTTTGGATTGAATCTCTAGACATTGCTTCATGTGGAAAGCTTAGGAAATTCATTAATGTTGTCCCGGAATTCATTGGGAAGAATGATTTCGAGGTATCTGCAACAGATGACGTCTCAGGTTCAAGTGCTTGCATCACGTGTGAAGAACTACTGCTTGGATCTTCTGCTAATTGCCTTTGGAACAAGAATCTGTTGAAGATATAATTAAGTAAATAAAAGCGTGCAACTTAATTTTTAGATAAATTGGTCGAAGAATTTAATAAAATTCATACCTAGAAGAAGAATCCATAAGTGGTTGAGATTCTAAGGCAATAATCCCTCTTGAATCCACATCAGCTTCTATACTTATGGGCATTTTATTTATACCATGTTCATTTGGGTTACATGGAGGTAATTCTGCTAGATTATCAATGGCATTTTTTGCTTTCTTGATTAGCCAATCCACAGCTTTGCTTGGCCTGTCATATCCTAGTCGGTCCTGTATTCAACGGGTTCAACTGAGCCCAATATTATTTTATATAGAACATATATACTATATATTAAAAAGATCATTAAGATTTCAATAAGTACCTAAGTTCTGAAACCATTATTATGAAAGTGCGCGCAATGGATGAAGTAGAAAGAGCTTAAATATTAAATTTATTAAATTTAAATCTTGAATCTGCCTTTACCTGCAAGTCATAGAATTGAATAGCGGTGAGAGCAGATAGCCGAACCCTGCGATCTCTTGGACCTTTAGCAGTATATACTTTGCTATGCCGGTCCTTCCGGCCAGTGGACCGGAGGATTCGCCCTCCTTCGACTTGTTCTATCTCTCTCTCCATTGCTCTCTTCATTACAAATATTTTTGCTGCTCTATAATTTGCATATCCATTTTTTTTTCTTTTTCACATGTAAGCTAGACACAAGAATCTGCTCAAACAAAATCTTGGTTTAATTGGCTAAAAATATGAAACTTTTTTATGTGAGTTTTGGTAGGACTCAACAGCACTAGATATCTACTATAGCTTTAGGGTTGAGAAGAAGGTTTTGAGAATGGCAAGTAAAAGAAAAGAGGAATGGAACAATGGGTTTTAAAGAATAACTTGTGTTTGGCCTCTCAGTAGATATATACTACTAGGTAAATTACACACCACGTCATGCCAACCTAATTTTTTCCTTTTACATTGAAAAATAACTAAATAAAAGGGTAGCCCGGTACACAAAGTATTGCGTGTTCAAGCAGAGTCTAGAGAAGGGCCGAACCCTAAGAGGTTCAATGTAGACGGTCTATTCGGTGCACAAAGCAACATTAGTATCTGCTTCCACGGCTCGAATTGGTGACCTATAAGTCACACGGAGACACTTTACTGTTGCTCCAAGCTGGCTCCCCTTTGTAAAATAACTAAATAAAGTATACTTAAAATAAGGGACACATCTTTGTCACAAACAGAACATGGAATTAGTCTATTATGCATATGTGCCTTAATTAGATGTTTTTATATCACTGTTAAGACAATTTGTTAACTTGCTGTGTCAAACTGATTTCACCTTTAAGTTGTAAATAAAGTGCATCTCATTTAACAATATATAAACTTAGAATATCAAGCCATGTGATTCGGAGGTCACGGGTTCGAGCTGTGGAAATAGCCTCTTACACAAATAAAGGATAAGGCTGCGTACAATAGACCCTTGTGGTCCGGCCCTTCCCCGAACCCCGCGCTCTGATGACCCAAAAGGTCATCTTATGTTTTAGAACTCGATTCTGTGTTCGGAGGCCTTTAAAATCTCATTTTTACCCTCCTCGATTTGCATGCGCAGTCCGAGCGTGTTTCCGGAAAGCTTTTTATATTGAAAGTTGATGAAAATATAATTTTTGCCTTTAAAAGTTGATTTAGTTGACTTCGGTCAACATTTTGAGTAAACAGACCCGGACTTGTATTTTGACAATCCCTGTGGGTCCGTATCGAAATATGGGACCTGGGCATATGCCCGGAATCGAATTTCGAGGTCCCTAACTTGAGAAATGAATTTTTGATGAAAATTGAATGTCTGAAAATTAAATGGTTATAAGAATTTGATTAATGTTTGATCTCGTTGGTATCGGGTCCGTATTTTGGTTTCGGAGCCCGGTACAGGTTCATTATGATATTTAAGACTTATCTGTGAAATTTGGTGAGAATCGGAGTTGATTTGACGTGATTCGACGTCTAGTTGAGAAAATAGAAGTTTTAAAGCTTTCTTGAAAATTTCATTCGATTTGGTGCTAAATTCGTAGTTCTAGGTGCTATTTTGGCGATTTGATCGCACGAACAAGTTCGTATGATGTTTTAGACTTAAGTGCATGTTTGGTTTGGAGCACCGAGGACTCGGGTGAGTTTCGGATAGGCTATGGGATGTTTAGAACTTAGAAAATCTGGTTTTTCTTGGCTTCAGCTGATATCTAGTGTGCCCTTCATCGCATTTGCGGAGGAACTCTCGCGAACGCGAAAGGTAAAATGGGGCAGGGATATTTTCTTCTTCTGAACGCGAAAGACTGGTCGCGAACGCGGAGCATTGGGGGCATTACCCTTCCCGAATAGGCATGGGACCTAGGGGAGAGGAAGTGACCAATACTCTTCGCGAACGCGGCACGTGGCTCGCGAACGCGTAGGCTGGTGGGAATAAGCCTTCGCGAACGCGAAGAGTATCTCGCGAACGCGTAGGCTAATTGAGCCGCTGCTTCGCGATCGCGGCAGACCCTTCGCGAACGCGAAGAAGGTCTGACGCCAGTGATTTAAAACAAACCAGAATCGGGATTTTCTCAAAATGTAACAACTCTTTCATTAGAACTTGACCTAGGAGCGATTTTGAAGAGGAGATTCATCACCAAATCATAGGTTTGTACTCTTTAACTCATTTTTTTCCATTTCTAACATCACCCATAGAATTCCCAACCTTAATCTTTGTTCTTTCATGGTAGAAAACTAGGGATTTAGGAAGAATTGGGGATTTTTGAAAATTGGAAATTTAGACCTCGATTTGAGGTCAGATTCCAAAACCAATTGTATATCCGGGCTCGGGGGTGAATGGGAAATGGATTTTAGTACGAACCTCGGGTTTTGACCAAGCAGGCCCGAGGTCGATTTTTGACTTTTTGGGGGAAAGTTTGGGAAATCTAAATTCATGCATTGTAGTTGATTCCTTTAGCAATAATTGATGTTATTGAGTTAATTGTGGCTAGATACGAATGGTTCGAAGGTCGATACTAGAGGAAAAGCGGTAATTGAGCATTGAGTGGCTCGCAGAGCGTGTTAAGTGTCGTGTTTAACCTTGACTTGAGGAATTAGGTATTATTTGCTTATTTGCTACGTGTTTGGATATTGAGTACCACGTATAGGTGAGGTGACGAGTATCTATGCGTTGTTTTGAGTCATAGCATACTAGTGAGTCTTATTCATAAATTTTAGCTTTCCGTGATCATATTATCCATGCTTAGACTAGTTTACTGTTATGTTGAACGTTCTTATCATATGTACGGATTTTGGTATTGATTGAGTATTGACTCAAGTTCGAGGTTAATATTGTAGGACCAAATGTTGAAGTAAGACTTGGTGTTGATATTTCTATCTCTCTCTTGATATTGTTCATTGTTTTGGTGAAGAAGAGTGTTAAAGCACGAAGGGTGATGACGTGTCATTCTTATTTGATTTATATGGTGAGGTTGAGAGTGTTAAAGCACGAAGGGTGATGTCGTGCCATTCTTATTTGATTTATATGGTGAGGTTGAGAGTAAAAGCACGAAGGGTGATGCCGTATCGTTTCTATTGATTATCTGGTGAGGTTGAGAGTAAAATCACGAAGGGTGATGTCGGGCATTTTCCGTTACCGTATCTACTTGGTGTTTAAAACCGGTTCAAGGTGTACTAGCTGTTTTAATCTCTTTACTGCTGTGATTCTTTATCTTGCAATCCCCTCAGCATGTTCCCCTCCCGTTATTATCTGTTTAGCTTCTATTAGTTGTTATTGTGCTCGTATATTGTTTAACTGCACAGGTTATGTATGTCTTGTCCCAGCCTCGTCACTACTTCGCCGAGGTTAGGCACGGCACTTACCAATATATGGGGTCGGTTGTACTGGTACTGCACTATGCACTTTCTGTGCAAATTTTGGTACTGGCTTGAGTTGACCCCGAGTTTAGCAGCTGGACTTGATCGAGAGGAGATCAAGGTAGATCTGTTGGCGTCCGCAGAACCTGAGAATCTCGTCCTAGATTGTTACTTTACTGTTTCTTTCTTCCAAAACGGTGTATTATCTTTTAGACTTTGTATGTAGTAAATCGTAGTAGCTCGTGAGTTATGACTCCAGATCCTGAATGTTTCAGTTACTTTGGGTTTTATAATATTTCGCAAATTCTATTTAGCTTAAATAATTTCTGTCGTTAAATTGGCCGAATTTGATTTGTGAATTCTCTAATGTTGGCTTGTCTAGCAAGTGAAATGTTAGGCGCCATCACGATCCCGAAGGTGAAAATTTTTCGGATCGTGACACATGCATAGCATGAGCTTAGTGTATCGGGCTGCCCTTTTTTTAAGAATATCAAGCCAGCTTGTGACAAACTCGAATTGAACTTAACTTTCGGTATAAATATGATCCCACTATCATTAACTAAAAATCTCGGGTTCGAGTCTAGATTATTTGGCGGTTGATATAAATCAATAAACAGCGATGAATAAAAGAATGCTGCAAAGTTCTCCAATAGGCCAATATTACACTGAAACACACCAACCCTAATTGACAATGATAGTGATTTTAACAGCTTTTTGTTCCATTACTCTTTGTCCTTTTTGTAGTTGCCCTTTAAAATCCAAATAAAGAAAAGGACAAAAAGAAGTAAAGAAACCACCAACTTGCTTCATTTGTTTTTTTTTTTTAATTAAGCTGTACGTCTTGTGGTAGTGGAGATTTGACATTATATTGATCCCTATCTTGTATATCAAAATCCAAAAATATACGAAGGAGGGAAAATTTATTCGTACTATATATCTATGTTACGTTGATGCATGTCTTTGTGGTGTGTGTCATAGGATGATGAAACTATAATATGGTAGATTAGAGGAATCCTCTGTTTAACATTAGATATGCACATAAGTATGCGGTTAAAAAAAAATAAAAAAAATCTGTTGACCTACATAAGTCGTAGGTATCATTAGAGCCGGATCCGAGATTTAAATCCTATGAGTTCAACGTTCAAAGTTTTTAGCATTGAACCCATTATATTTTTAAAGTTATGGGTTCATATCTATTATTTTTGTAATTTTAATAAATTTTACATATAGATTTTTACTCCGCATTAAAAGTTATGGGTTCAATTGAACACGTCGGTTCAACGCTACATTCGCCCCTGGTAATTATGAACTTTAATATTTCATTCATCATTTGTGAATCTGTTTGGTCAAATATAAACTTAAAAAGAAAAAAAAAATACTTTTGAAATTTGTGTCTTTCATCAATATTCCGCTCATTTTATGATATTTGTATGGCTACAAAACATGTCATATTAAGGGTAAAATGAGACGCTTCCTTCCCTCTTTAATGAGTTTAATTATGTCGTCCGAATTCGAATTAGTCTGGACCGCAATGCAAGCATATTGTGTGGAAAACCAGAAAAATGGTGGGATCATATGTTGTCCAAACTGCCTACTAGAAAGGGCATGCCGGTGCACTAAGTTCCTGCTATGCGAGGAATTCGGGGAAGCGACAGATCACAAAGATTTGATGTACGCCGTCTTATCCTATATTTCTGCAAGAGGTTGTTTCTCCAAACGCCTACTAAGTAAAAGAATATATAAAATTGCCCTTGTAGGAGGGGAAGATCTTTGTAGTTACGTATGATGGAGAAAGAAACAATTTGGCACATGCAACTAGCAGAAGCTAGCTCCTAAAGAAGAGGCAAAGGCGTGCCAATTCTTCATATAATGCAATTTTGTACTACAAAAATAATTAAAAGAGAGAAGATGATGATTGATTTCTGCCCAGAAACTCCAAAGGACAAGGAGTGCTTTAAGAAAAGCATCTCCCAATTGGAAATCCAATAAAGAAGACTAATTC